TCAGATGCCATTGCTAACCAGTATTGATGTGAGTCAGACCCTAGATTAAAGGTAGCATAATGGAATGTTGTTTTATATAATCAAACTAATTTGTTTCATTCTTATACAGGGCAAAGATCTGATGAATATATAGAATGATTATGTAGAAGAGAAGAGACTTTATCTGATTAGACTATGGAAAGAGTTCTTTTAAAAACTTTTTAACAATCTAAGATAGAAGTTTCCTCTGATAACAGAAATTCAAAAGATACAGCAGAAACAGTTTCCTGACAACAGATAGCAAAAGGCCTATTCAGCAGCAGTAGAAGTTGAATTTCTGACTACTTTGTAAGGGAAATATAATGCAAAACACTCATGGAGATCAAGTTGTTCTGTACTTGCAAGGACCTCTGACTTCTACATCTTTGTGGATAAATCCACAAGGAAAATAGTTGTAGAATATTATTGTCAACTATGTTACTTATTGCTAGATAACAAATTATTCTACAATTTAACTTAAATGAAAGAATAAGTATTTATTATCTCATACATTTTCTGTGGGCCCAGAATCTGAGTGCCTTAGCTGGGTTGTTCTATTTCAGGATCTTTCATGAAGTTGTGGTCAAGCTGTTGGCCAGATGGAACTGGAGAACTTGCTCCAGCCTCACTCAGGCACTAGAAGCATTTCACAGGTTCAGGGTGAGACAGAGGCCTAGATGGTAGCTAGAAGCCTTTTGTAATCTAATCTTGGAAGCAACTTATACAATAATTTTTTTGTCATGTATGTCTACCTGATAGAATTTGAGAGGACACTACACAAGGATATGATAAATGGGAAGAAAGGTCATTGGAGGCTATCTTAGGGGCTAGCTGCCAAACCTACTAAAGGTGCTTTTCATTGGGGCTTTACAATTTGTAGTTACCTATTCTTTGGTTTAAACTAGGGCTCAAGTCTTGTTACTCCTTGAACCTTGTTAAAATGTGGAGAGACCTAAATGTATTTTATAGAAACCAGTGACTTAATGTTTTCCTTTTTTTTCTCTCGGAACAGGAGAGGACGTGTGTGTGTTCGTGTGTGTGATGAGAGGGAAAGTGGTAAAGAACATAAAAATACTATTTTTCAGATCAAAATTATTTTTTTTCTTTTAGTTCACCATGTGGCTTCAATATAATTCTTCTTTTTCAACTCTCAAATCAAACACCTCTGCTAACTTTCAGCTAAATAGGGAACATTTGAAAACTTTGGAATAGAAGTAAGAGGGAAGGGGGAAAAGTACTAGCTTCCATGCTTGGTTTTCATTTTTTTTAATTTCTCAAAGTGTGAGGGGAACAGTGTTGAATCTAACGTATTTGATTTGACTTATATAAATTCTATTAAAATAAGTAGAAGTCAATTATTGAGGCTAACAGCTTCAGGAAAATCAAGAAAAACCAAGTAAACTCCTGGAAATAGAAAGATTTTTACTGATTATGGAATCATAAATATGAATTAACCTGCTATGGTATGTCTGTAAAATAAGATTGAGTTTTTATTTCCTGTTAAATATGAAGAGAGCAAAGGTGCAGAATTAAGGGTAAGGCAGAGACATACAAGGCTAGTGTTATAAAGAAGTAAAGTTTCTGGTTATATATTGGATTTGTCTAGAATTTTCTGAGTTAAAACATTTATTATACAGTTTTCGTTACTTGGTAGATACTGAGATTCATCTATAAGCCATTAGATACTTGTATGTATAAGGCTTTTAGGAGATTTTTTTTTTCAAGAAACTACTTGATAGAGTAAGGCAGCAAGTCTTAAGAGTCAACATATACAATCAGTTGTAGTAACCTGGTAAGAGGTGGGAAAGTACTAGAAGAGGGAAAAGGGTACTCATGGGGAAGTATAGGTGAACCAATGGAAGATGTGACAGAAAGAAAAAGAAATTTGTAGTATGTAGCCTCAGCTTTGTTCTAAAAGGAGTGTAGCCTTTATAGCTGCCCTGCACCTTGGTGGATTTGGGGTGTGCCTATCTGGAACAGGCTTGAGGGAGAAGTGAAAGGCTCCTGAGTTCCTCTGGGAGGGGAGTGGTGGTGAGGAGTAGTAATATAGAGAGGAAGAAGGAGGGAGCTTTGTCAGATGGTAGGAGGCCATGAATGCTTCCATATGCCACATTTTAGAACTATTCAGTATAACTAGATTTCTTGTGCAAACTGGAGAAGAAGCTGAGTTCTGGGCTGATGCTGAGCAAAACAGAAAGTGGACTCCTGGGCACAGAAGCCTGAGACAGAGGAGACCTTGAGATAATGAGCCCCAGAAATTAATAGATATCATTGAGATGACTTTAGGTTGTCATTTGGATGTGGAATAGTAGTGAGTTGGAACCAATTTTTCCTAATTCTCCAATGTGTAATGAAGACCAGCTAACCTCTTGGTTTTTGAAATTCAGTAAGATTTTTGACATTATCAGAGCTCATTTTGGTTTGGATACAGAGTTAATGTGTCCTCTTCATGTGGACAGAACCCACATGGAAACATACAAACAAGCACTGTTACATGTGCAAAAGCACACACACCACACTCCCCACACCCCAAACACCTTTCTTCTCTTTGAGCAGCACCAATCTGTTGTTTCTACTTCAGATGAACAAATTTGGCCAATTTACACCTTTCCTTTTACATTATCAGATGTCACAGATGTTCTGCTTCAATATAGAAGAATTGCCTTCCGATGGTCTGGGCACTTTTGTTTAGGATAGTCATCTCCAAGGGGTATAGTTATCTTTGGTGAATGTTGTCCAAGGGCAAATTGTACTTGGAGGGCACCATCAAAGATCTTCAGGCCAAGGAGAGATATTCAAAGGGGCTGGGCTGTGAGCCCTCCCAGGCTCGCCCAGTCTCTCCCTGCCAGTTGGATGTATCAGCAGGAGGCTCTGAGTTACATTTTGTAGATACCTTGTAGGTAGGAAGATTATTAAAGAGAAACTTCCTGAAGTTGCTCCTGGATGCTGAGGTTCCTCTATCTTCCTTCCTTCTTTACTACTAAACTTTGTGGATCTTGACAGATGTTGGCCTTCCTGAATGTTACCAAACATCTTGAACTGTTTACAGAAACATTGAAAAATGCCATTAATCATCTTGATGACTATCAAGTACATAAGTGACAATGCTGAGAGACTCTTTGGAAGATAAATTAACCAGCAGAATTGGTCCAGGTTTTTAAATACCATTCTTGTGCCCTGGCCAGCGTGGCTCAGCTGGTTGAATGGTTGTCCAGTAATTGGAAGGTTGGGGGTTTGATTCCTAGTCAGGGTACGCACATACCTAGGTTTTGGGTTTGATCCTAGGTCTGGGAGCTTATTATCCTCATTCTGAACACATACAGGAGGCAACCAATCGATGATATTCACAGAGATGTTTCTCTCTCTCCCTTCCTTTCTGAAAGCAGTGAAAAATTGTCCTCAGATGACGATAGAAAAATAAATGAATACTGCTGTCTTAACACTCATGTGATGATAAAGGGTATTTAGAGATCTGGAGTTAAGGTAGAACCATAGCTCAAACATGTCAGAGATATTTTTAAAATTTCACTCTTTTTTTAATTTTTTAATTTCCAGCAAAGCTATTATTTATTATTTTTTAATTTAAATTATTTTATTGTTGTTCAATTACAGTTGTCTGTATTTTCTCCCCACCCCTCCCCCCTAAAATTTCACTCTTGAATAAAGACTACTTTGTAGTCTTTCAATAACTTACCCTAATTTGTAAAATATTGAGATTGTTGCAAATATCTAACTTCAAGTAAAAATTTTCAGATTTGTAAAATGCTACCTCCCTTTTTCTATATGCTTAAGTTGCTAGAGGTCAGAAGTGGGTCTTATATCTTGCACAGCATCTGACAAACACCTCAGTAAGTGTTCTATAAGCCTGTTTGGTTTATTGTTTAAGTGCATTTCTCCAGTTTTCTAACAGTGAAGTAATAGACAACCTCATGGAAAAGTATCCTTTACATAATGGTTGTGGAGTGATTAGATTCTGCTGTAGATTTTCATCTTTTATGATTGCTGACCATAGGTAAGTAAGTAGAGAAGGTGATTTGGCTTTCTTGGTCTTGATGCAAATATGAATAAAAATAAAGTTTGAAGTTTGTTTTATAAATGTAATTGTGGTGGGTGGAATAGATTGAATATATGAAAGCTCCAAAAGCCACCACTATTCATTAATATGGTTGATCCCTGACATAGATTATTCACTTAATATTGATAACAATACCCTTGTACAAGAGATTTAGAGAGGTTAGGGAATTTGCTCTAAGTCACATAGGTAGTAAGAGGAAAATCAGATTTTTGTCGAAAGATCATGCTCTTTCTATTATATTAGAGAGTTCATTTTTTTTTTGGAAAAAACCACATAAATGACTCAAGCTGGTTTATCCAGAATTTTAATAATTGTAAGGTGTCCACAATGTGATTATAACCATGGGAGATAAGCCATCAGGTGGCACGTATAGAAAGAATCCAGTTTGGAAGCTTTGGGTTCTGGCTTCACCCTCACTGGCTGTTACCTCAGGGAAGGGAATCATTCAGCCCCTCTGAGTCTCTGAGTGCACAGGAGAGCATGCACAAGATCCCTGATCACAGAGCAGATTACACACTAAGCACCCAGTGTGTATCAGAGTTTTCAAAACATGAGCATTGAGGTGCCCACAGTAAAACTTGCTGCAGAGATGTGCACATTCCCCTAGAGCTGCAGCTTTCAGGAAGTGACAGCTACAGACTACTCTCAGGGCATTGAGTGACCTGCCACTTAGATGGAATCAGGGAGGTTTTGCTGAGAAAGTCACCTACCTACAGGGAAGTAAAATACGGTTAACATTAAATATAATAATCTATTGTAATAATATTAAAATTGAGAATAAGCTTCGTTAAAGATTTTTCAAATGAGAATGTGGTGAAAGCTGAAGTTGACATTTGTGAACAGTGCAGCTTATCAGTTTCATCTTATCAGTAACCTAGTTCCTGTGTCCTCACTGATAAGAAAAATGGGAGGATTTTAAAGAAGGCTGGCTATTGTTTTTAGCATAGAGCTATAAGAGATTGATTTTTAGAGTTAATAAACTCTGATGCTAAGAAGTTGAGAAAGAAAGAGCTCAAGTACCACTCACTGACGGTAAGTGCCTTTGGGGTGTTTTTCAGAAATACTTTTATCTCAAAAAGAATGGGATTTAAAAACAAAAAATTAGGTTAAAAATAGTAATTCCTATTAATTTTTTTGTTTGTGAAAAAATAGTATTATCAGTGGGAAAACCAAGTTACAGACTGAAGAAGTCCCTTGGAGCCACATTTGTATAACCTGGAACTTTGGTCTTAGGTATTGGAAAATGTCTGGTGGGTGGTGGGGAAGGAATGGCCCTTGCAGTATATATACAGAGTGCTCATATTCCAGAGTCATTCTTCTGGAATCCACTAAAACCCACAAGTGGAATCTACTCATATGGTGGGGAAAGAAAAAGAATTTAGTAAGTAAGGAGTTGCTGGGCAAAAGGGTGAGGGAGAGGTGTGTGTTGTGAGGGACAGGGTTTAGAACCATTCAGAAGAAGGAAATTCAAGGTGAAAATGAGAGTCTGAAGAAGGTGGGCTGATAAAGGTCAGTCATTTTGGGGGCTGAGTTGGGGAATAGTGGGTAGTGAGTAAATAAGTGACCTAAATTTACATTTTTTAAAAATATATTTTATTGATTATGCTATTATTGGTAAATACCTATTTTATTAGATGGCTCCATTTTTTTTTAATCTCTCTCTAAAGACAGCTCAACAAAATGTGTAGAGTCACTTATTGCAGAGCTGGCCTCCAGCCTCACCCACTGATTGTTGGTTTTAACTCCTAATTTCCTCTAGTAACAGAGAAATGAAGGTTCTGCTTGCCTCTAGCTGTGACAATTTTTTTACTACCTCTGGAGACCAAACTATTCATGTGTAATTGCCGTCCCCCAAGATCTAACAGGGACATTGTTATCCCTTTTTTTTCTATTCTATGTAGACTATTTGAGACAGAAAGCTCTAGACTTAGGCAGAGCTGCAATACATCCCTGCTCATAAACTTAATTTGATTCACAACCATAAGCAACTCAACTAACCTCTTTAATTCTTGTATTTCCTGCCTATAAAACCAGCATATTACTACTAATACCAAGCTCAGAGGTTGATTTCCAAGTTTAAAGCTGATTGCAAACACTTAACAATGTCAGCTCTCATAGTTGTCATTATTTTTTTCCTTTCCTGCTCTGGGAACTCTTATCTCTGTGCCCTGCAGACAGGCTGTGTGGCTGGTGATTTTAACTTTACGTAATTCTAAGCTTGACATCAGTTCTCTCTTTTCTTGAACAGGTTGTTTCAAGGAAGAGATTGGTTCCAAAATATTTTTCTAATTGGATGTCTTGATGTATGGAGCAGATGTGGTTCAAGCATTTCTGGGATGTGTTTGGTTTTCAGATACCTTCAAAATATTTGTCTTATATTTGTGAGGGTCTATATTTTTTTGGTTACCCCTCTGTACTTCCCAGTTTTCTGTGAATGAAAGACAAGTGCAAAAGAAAGGTCCTCCAAAGTCTTGGGTGACACTGATATTCAAGGGCAAATGCAACCTAGTGAGTAGAACACAATGCAGAAGTCTCCCAGCACTGGTGATGCCAAGATTGTGTAAGTGTACACATGTGTGAGCATGTGTGAAGGAAGTTTGGCCCTAGTTCAGGGTGGAGGGAAAGGTCCCTCTGGTCTGGAACAAACTCTGACAGCAAGCAAGTCCAGTTCCCAGAAAGAAGAAGGAAAAAGACTAAGCAGGTTGTCTGGATTCTAAACAAGGGTCTTAAATATTTTGTTCTTTATTTTATTGTGGTAAAATCTCTTAACATGAGATATATCTGAACACATTTTAAAAATATACAGTATAGTATTGTTAACTACATTTACTAAATTATTAACTATTATTAACATGTTGTACAGCAGATATCTAGAAATTATGCATTTTGCTTAACAGAAATTTTATGTCTGTTGATTACCTTCTCATTTTACTCTCCCTGCCCAGCCCCTAGAAAACACCATTCCACTCTTTGTTTCTATGTATATCATTATTTTAGATACCTTAGATAAGTAAAATCATGCAGTATTTGTCCTTCTATGACTATTTATTTCACTTAGAATAGTAATCTTAAGGTTTGGGCTGAATAATGTTCCCCTATATGTATATACTACACCTTCTTAGACACTCATCTTTTAATGAACATTTAGGTTGTTTTTACATCTTTGCTATTGTAAATAGTGTTGCAATGAACACAAGAGTGCTAATATCTCTTTGAGATCTTAGTTTCAATTCTTTTGAATAAATACCCAGAATTTGGATTGCTGAGTAATATGGTATTTCTACTTTTAACTTTTTCAGAACACTTCATACTCTTTTCCATGGCCATTGTGCTATTTTGCATTCTCATCAAGAGTGTATAAGGGTTCCTTTTTCTCTACAATCTTGCCAATAGTTGTTATCATTTTTTTTTTGTTTTTGATAATAGCCATCCTGGGAGGTATAGGGTAATATCTCACTGTGGCTTTTATTTACATTTCTCTGGTGATATATGATGATGAGCATTTTATAATTACCTGTTGTTCACTTGTGTATCTTCTTTGGAAAAACTTCTATGTATAAATCATTTAGCTCATTTTTATGTATATGCCCTGACTGGAGATTGAACCCACAACCTTGGTGCCTCAGAATACACTCTAACCAAGTGGACTACCTGGCCAGTAGACCATATTTAAAATTTGGTTACTATTATTATTATTATTATTATTATTGCTATTGAGTTATATGAAGTCCTTATATATTTGGAAATCAATTCCTTATCAGATACATGGCTTGTAAGTATTTTCTTCCATTTCATAGGTTGCCTTTTTATTCTGTTGATTATTCCTTTGCTGAGCAGAGTCTTTTTAGTTTGATGCAGTTCCACTGTTTATTTTTTTTCCTTTTATCCATTTTTCTATGTTCCTGGTGGCATATCCATGAAATCGTTGCCAAGACTAACAACATAAAGCTTTCCCCCTACATTTTCTTTTAGAATTTTTACTGAGGATTGAGCTCAAACATAAGGAAGAATGGAGAAATGGGGTGATGAAGGGGACTTGGGTAAGAGATAGGGAGGTTCCAGCTTGTTTGGGACAAAATTGTCTTTAACACACTTGTAATAACATAGCAGTAACAACAACAATAATTATTTACTGAGAGTCTGCTATGTGCCAGACCTTGTGCCAAGTGCTTTCCATATACAATATGTAAATATCCTGCTGTTCTTATGATAATTCTGTGAAGTAGGGGTGAAATTCAAACCTGGCTGACTCAAATTCTGTGCGTTCAACTACTATTCCATGCTAATGTGGGTGAGAGTTTGGACTCACAACAGCAGAGTCTGAATATGAGTAAGGGAATGGTTGGGTTGGATTGGTGGAATTGGCTCTGGGGCCATGTATGGCTGAGCCTCAGGTGAAAAGGGAAGTGCACTGGTGGAAAAACACAAATGGAGATGGCATCCACTAAAATATAGTTCAGATTTTGGTGAGAGCTTATAAATTCTTCCCAAGGTGGATGGATAACTTTTTTTTTATTGCTGTTCAAGTACAGTTGTCTCAATTTCCACACCTCCCCCCACCACTGCCTCCTGCCTCACCCACCCCCACCTCCTACCCTCAATCCTAACCTCCTTTGGCTTTGTTCATCTGTCCCTTATTCATGTTCCTTGAAGACCCTTCCCCAACTTTCCCCCATTATCCCCTCTCCCCTTTCCTCTGATCACTGTCAGTTTGTTCTTTATTTCAATGTCTCTGGTTATATTTTGCTTGCTTGTTTGGTTTGTTGATTAGGTTCCATTTATAGGTGAGATCATATGGTATTTTTCTGTCACTACCTGGCTTATTTCACTTAGCATAATAACTTTGAATTTCAACAACTGCAGACCTTACCCAAGACCACTTGTGTCTTTTGACAACTTCCTTAAGCACAATTTAAGTGCATGTTGAGTGCCCATTTGAGTTCACTCTAAGCTGGGAATCTAGACTTCCCTACATCTTCTCTCAGAAGCCTTGTAATAAAAACAATGAAGGAACTGAGGGTTGAGTCACTATGCATGGGAGCCTCTACCATCTTGGCCTCACTAAACATAACCAAGGCTCCCAGGATGGCAGCGTATTCATGTCGACAGAGAACAGGAAGATCCCAATGCATCTCAGGGTCCTGGATGCTCTCCCCACTCTTCACTGTCTCTGACCACCTCCAGGATCAATCAGCACTTTCTAGAATCTTCTTCACTCTGGGTCCTTAGTTGGTCAAAAATCATTAGCTACTCTCTGTTGGAAGCTTGTCTTACTCTACACTGGTCCTCAGGTCACCATCTGAGCTGGAATCTTAAACTTTAAATAAAATCAAAGAATCTCTAGACTCCAACATTTAGGAAAGATGAGTTTCTTTGGGTTTACTACTCATCATGAGCATAGAGGTAAAGACAGAAACTTCAGTTGTGAATTCCCTCATCTTTTTTGTTCTTTCTGAGTAAAATTCTGAAAGATTCTGGGATGGAATGTTCAAAATTGCTTATCTTCATTTCAATTATTTTGAGTATTCTTTCCTGGAAACTTAAGCATTTTCCTTCCAACAAGTCTCTGTTAGATCATTGCTGATGTAAACACCAATTTTCAAAAGGCATCAGAGAAGTTAATTGTAGTGCAATTTCTAGTAAATTAGCCTCCATGCAGAGTGATTAATCTTTTGAAAATGTGGTATACATTAAGCTTCATAAAACTAAGACATCCTTAAATATGGTAACCAAACATATGACCTTAGAGTGGGTTTGCAGTATTTGAACAAATTAGAGGTTTAATTCAAACATGTCTCCTTTTGGTTTTTCATTTCCTCTGTTCTTTAGGATATTCTTGTTGCTCCTTTAATTATCCTCCTTTTTTAGCCTGTCAATAATGACTTGTGCCTTGTGGTTCTGGCCTCAGGGTCAAATCCAATGCTTACTAACCCATTTCCTATTTCTATTTTCACCTTTATAATTAAAGCATCCTTAAATCTAACTTTACTATAAACAAAAGTATTCAATTAAGTAAAAATATATTTGGAGAG